CCAGGTGCTCCCCGCAGGGCCCCCCACACCTCTGCACCTGCCCCACAGGCCCAGGGCCTCTGTAGCTCCTAACCACAATCTTCCTCAGTTTCAGTTTTGGTCACCAGGCTATTTCTCGAGGTCTTGGGGACGCTGTCACAGAGAAAGCCTAGGCGGAGGCCTGGGGTGGAAGCCCCCAGGATTCTCCAAACACTGTAGCAGCCGCTCTGAGTGCCCAGCTGAAGAGTGTGTGACCAGGGTCAGCAGCCGGAGTGCAAGGACAGAGACCGCTGAGGGTTCTGACACATGCCGAGGGGCTGGCCAGGGTGCCCTTGGGTGTGTAGGCGTCCAGCCTCAAGGGCGGTGTGCTATGGACCGAATTGTGTCCCCGCCCCAAATTCAGATGTCCAAGCAAGTCTCAACCCCCAAGAGGATGATATTTGGAGATGGGGCCTTTGGGAAGTAATTGGATTAGATGGGCTCATCAGGGTGAGGCCCTCATGACAAGATTAGTACCTTGTAAGGAGAGACACCAGACAGAGAGCTTGCTTTTGCTCTCCCTGCCATTTGCAGACACAGGGAGTAGATGACCAACCAGGAAGAGGGTTCTCACCAAAACCTGGCCTTGCCGGCCCCCCAACCTCTGACTTCCATCCTTCCTGATCTATGAGAAAAATAAATGTCTGCCGTGGCAGCCAGAACTGACTCAGACACAGTGGGACGGCCAGCAGCCCCTCTCCTGGCTGTGGCTTTGCTGCTTACTCTGCCAGTCAGTTTAAGCCTTGGTCCCCAGGCCATGCCCTGTCCACTTACCTCCCTGGGCACTCCTTCAGGGCCTGGAACCTCAACCTGCTCCCTGCGCCCTCCTAACTGGCTTCAGAGTGAGCTACAGGCCTACCTGGTATTCCTGTGAATGCCTGAGTCCTGGCTACTGCGTTATGCAAGTACCGCAGAGCCATCAACTACCACCAACTGACATTTAAATAGAACAAGAAGCCCCAGAAAGTATATGCAAGTGCGACAGTGTGGCTATGAGTTTTTGTGTGTGGGCATGTGCATGAGTTCATGAGTGAGTGTGCATGTGGGGATGTGGAGAGAGACTGAATACCGCTGGACAAGGGCTGGACCATACGAAACAGAACTCTAACGTGCAGCCTGCAGCGAACACCCCAGGAAGCCAGCCTGTTACCAGTCAGACTTGAAGGAAGTCAGGGCCTATCTCTAGTAACTAGCCCAGGAAGTCAAACCACAGCCCCTGAAACAATTGGCCCTGATTTTTCCCTCCCGCTTTCAGTTGAGGAGCAGCATATATGTGCCCCAAACCAATAACGAGAGCTCACGTCTAGATCCCCATGCCAACAGCATCCCATCAGTGCACACCCGAAGTCTCCCCTTTCTCCACTCGAAAGTATCCCCGCTCCTCCGCCTGCCTTTGAGTCTCAGCCAGAACAAAAGTGACGGTGGCCATCTCCCTTGCTGTAGCAAGGCGGGAACCAACAGCCTGCGCTTGTTCTCATTGGTTGGTCTTCATGGATTCCCTCAGTGTGCGTGAGTGAGTGTGTGTGCCTGCCTGTGTGTGGGGGGGTGGTGTGTGGTGGTGGCAATGTTGGGAGTAGGAGAGAACTTAGGGGGAGCCTGCACTGATGGTAAGGTCGTATCACTTCCGGGTTTGTGCCCTTGGTGTCCCTTCTCTTTTGGAGCTGACGGGAGGGAGGGGAGATGAGGAGACAGGAGGGAAGGGAGGAGGAATTGGATGAGAGTCTCTTCTGTAGTACAGAGAGGTGATTGTAAAAGCCAGATTGTTGGGGTAAAGTAATACAGAGTCCTCAGAACCAGCAAGCGCTCTCTCTTCCTGCCCTCCTGGGTGTGACGAGGTCTCAGGGCATTCCCCAGGCCCCATACTGCATTACTTCTCTTCCTCCTTTCGTTGCCGAAAGCCAAAGGCAGGCACCCATGTGTCGTTCCCCTGGCCTGCGTGCCTGCCGCTCCCTGCAGAGGCTCCCGGTGCCTCCCGGTTGAGACTGGGGGCCCTGCCTACCTGCCACAGGTGTATCAGGATTTAATCTGAGACTGGGCAGCCACTTGCCAAAATTAATGGTTGGTAAAATTAGAACAAACAGAGGTAAATAGCCCATTACTGACCACACGATGTCCCTGTGATTTTAACTGCAGTAAAGAGATCACTAAGGTGCTGCAATTTTCTGATCAATGATGGTAATTTTCTTCCCCCAAAGATCAGCTTAATCACGCTGAGGGTCTTAGAGAGCACAGGGGTCAGGACAGAATTACATGGTTGTGAAGGATGTCTCCATGGCCTCGGTTTATTTTGCACGTCATTCTAGCTGATGAAGTGCTGTGCTTGCTCAGAAGTGACGCGCAGGCACTTGTAGGAGCTCTGAGAACTACCTGGCCTTCCCACAGGCCTGCGCAGAGCACTGCAGAATAGGACAGCCGTGGTCCAGCCATGGCGACCCAGCTCTGCAAAGCCTCTGTCCAGCTGTAGTTTTAAAATCAAAGAAACCAAACCTCACACCTTGTGCTTGCCAAACACGTGATGCAACCCTGGGATGCACCAATGGCTTTAACAGGAGCAAGTGGCAAAAGGAAGAGAACTCCCTGCCCCGGGCCTTTTCTCTTGTGCGGGCGCAGCTGCTGGAGCAGTCGTGCTAGTGCAGGAATAACTGGCAGCCAAGCTAGGCGCTAGAGCCAGTGAGAGCCAGTGGTCTATTCACTTGCTCGGCAAGAGTTTGATTAATAGTTCTTTCCCTGTTGTTTTCCAATCCATCATCCAGATTTGAACGTGTCTGTTTTCTTCCACCATTTGTTCTGTATTGTCCCCTAAAGGGCAAAGTCATATTAAATCAGGAGCTGACTTAATTGCCAGTTAAAAATGTTAAAATCCATACTGTAAATCCATTAACAAACTGCTCATTACATGAATCAGCCACGTATTTCTGGTGCATAAGAACTGAGACAAACAATGACTAATGACATTGAAAAGCAGCAAGGCACTGAACAAAAAATTAATGGCTAAGTCAGGGGCAGAGAAACTCTAGTCATCCTGAGTGTTTACACCAACCAGATCCCTGAAGGTGAAACTTACCGAAAAGCGGCAGTGACTCATGGCAACCTACAGGAAAGGGGTTAGAAGAGATAGTGTGTGGCACTTCTCTCTGTCTGCCTGTCTCTCTTAGCACAGCAACCATGATTATGAAATTGCATTCTCTCGTGCTTAGGCTCTAATCCTAAACCAAAGGAGGGACTTCAGTTTGAACACAAAAACGTAGCATCTAATCTCCCCTGCATACTGGCCTAAACAGACACCTCTTTCATGCATTGTTTCAAGTGGGTAGAATTTCTACCCTCATTCTAATCCACTCAGTCCTGTTTTGTTTGTTAACAACCTCTGAGAAGTTTATTGTCCTGAAAGGAGGAAGAAAGGTGAAATGCAAGGGTTTTTCCCCCACTCTGAGACCAGACTCTGCTTTCAAAACGGGCCCTTTAAAAGGTCGTTTCTCACTCACCTTATGGTCCAGCAAGCAGGTCCCTTAGTATTTTTCCAAAGGAGTTGAAAACTTATGTCTGCACAAATACCTGCACGGGGTTATTTATAGCAGTTTTATTTATAATTACCAAAATTTGGAAGCAACCAAGATGTTTTTCAGTAGGTGAATGGATAAATAACTGTGGTACATCCAGAATATGACCCAAAGCTAAAAAGAAATGAGCTATCAAGCTGTAAAAAGACATGGAGGAAACTTAAATGCATATTGCGAAGTGAAAGAAGCCGATCTGAAAAGGCTACATACTATATAATTCCAACCTATGACTTTCTTGAAAAGGCAAAACTATGGAGACAGTAAAAGGGTCAGTGGTTGTCAGGGGTTGGTGGGGGCATGAGGGAGGGATAAGCAGGTGGAGCACCGGATTTTTAGGACAGCAAGGCTACCTGTGTGATACTACAACGGGAATACATGTCATTATTATGATACGTTTGCTCAAACCTATAGAATGTATACCACCAAGGGTGAGCTTTGGGTGATTCCGATGCATCAGTGTAGGTTCATCGGCTGTAACAAACACGCCCCTCGTGGGCGGTGGTCACCGAAGGGAAGGCTACGCGTGTGTTGGGGCAGGGGATGTAGGTGGAAATTCTATGCCTTCCTAATTTTGCTGTGAATCTAAAACTAAAGACTTTAAAAAATAAAGTCTTTAAAAAATAAAGTCTTTATAAAGAAAAAAGGGAAAAAAAAGAACATAAAGAGATCCTTTCTCCCTGGGGAGCAGAGCACAGAATTCAGGGGGGGTGTGGTGGGGCCCCTCCCCTCTCCACACGCCCTGAGGGCGGGTCATTCACTCAGGGCCTGGGAAGGAGGATGGACCTGGCCGAAGAGAAGTGGTCTGGCTATGTTCTGGTGGCACAGGTGTCCCTGTTGTCCGGGCCTGCACGGTCCCAGGCAGCAGGGCTAGCCCCATGGAGTTAGTTACGTTTAAATCAATAAAATTGAAAAATAAATATTCAGTTCACACGAGTCTCCATGCAAGTGTTCAGTCGTCTATGTGGTTAATGGCTACCACGCTGAACAGCACAGACTTGGAACATTTTCATCACCTCAGAAAGTCCTGCGGCTGACGAGCGCCCCTCTAGACTCCAGGTAGCCACGAGGACACCCCTGGAGGATGAGTAAAGTCACAAATCAAGGATGCATGTGATTTAGGACCCAAGTTCCAGATTCCGAATGACCCTTGAGCCACAGACACCATCTCCACAGGGGCAATTGCCAAAGACAGAGGCCCGTGGCTGGGCCAGGACTGAAAAGGGCTTGAGAGGTGTGTTAACTGCATCAGTGATTGAAGAGCAACTTCTCTTTTGCAATCCTTGCTGGTCTGACAGGCTCCTGCAGAATTACATCACTTCCTAAAAAGCAGGCAAACACTTCTCCTTCAAGTTAGCACCTACCCAAACAAGCAGGAAACAGGAAACGTTCACGTTTCAAGGAGGCTGAAGCCAGCGCAGCATCATGCCGGAGGGAGAGCCCAGGCGAACGGACAGGAAGGCTCCCCGCGCTGCCCTCCTGTTCGCCCTGATGATTGCGCTCCTTCCCTTTGGCCGGGCTCAGGGTAAGCAACCTCCACCCCAGGGAGGAGGAGAATGAAGCCTTGTTTCGTGCCCGAGGCTACAGAGGCTACAGAACTCTGCCGGGGAAGCGAACACCCAGAAACTGTAATCCTTTTTTTTGTGAGAAAAGTGGTGAAAATTAGAGAAGTCTCTTTAAGGTGCTGGGGTGGAAGGGTGAACTTGGCTTTCCCTGCAGCTATCAAATCACGCTCCAGCTCGCTCACTTAATGTAATCTTCCTGCAATCTTTGTCTTCTAAGATATGTGGGTCCCTGTAATTTACCAGCTTTAATGGGCACATTAAGAAAACCATAAAGTCTTTGGCAGTTCATGTAAAGGAACGTTTCATTCAGCTGCAACAGAGAAATAATAATAAATTTGGTTTTAATAATGTGGGCTGAAAAGGCTGCTGGTCTCAGAAACTCCTGGGAAAACTGGAGTATGGAAATTTACTACTGGAAAGTATGCTAAAAACAAGAAGCCATAAGTTTATAAATATGTAAACAGGAAATTATCCAAGGAATTCCCAGGCATCCACTGTAACTTTTTAAGACAGGGTTTTCATCTGTTTTCCTTTGATCTTGTTATTTTGAGAGAGATTTTCTTTGCATTGATTGTAACTGATGAAGCTTTGTTTAAAAAAGTAATGTAATTATAGCACATCAAAGGTATTGGTAAAGACAAAATATTAAATCTCATTCTTGCTAAGAGTAGCTATTAGTTTATATCTTTGACAGTTGTTATAAGTCTAGTCACCCTCAAATGCCTCTTACAGTGGTTTTTTTTGTCTTGCCCCTGGGTAAATAAACTTGCTACCCATGGTTTCTCAGTGGGTACAACTGGCTTCTGGTGTAGGGCAGTACTTAAAGCAAAAGGAAAGTTCTCAAGCTACACTTTTTAAAAATTTAATTGATTGTGGAGAGAGAACAGCAGTTTGCTGTCCCACTTATTGATGCATTCCTTGGTTGCTGCTTGTATGTACCCTGACCAGAGGCTGAACCCGCAACCTTGGCGTATCAGGATGACACTCTAACCAGCTGAGCTACCCAGCCAGGGCTTCAAGCCACAGTTCTTTACACAGGACGGGGACACAGGCACTGAGCTAATGGATGTCACAACTTCCCGGAGATGAGCCATCCGCGTCCCACCTCCCATACCCCACCAACGGCTCTCTCCCTGGAACCCTCCATGTGGTCTCCCCAGGGTTCCGAGGTGGGAAATGAAAGGGGAAAGGCAAACCACCCCAACGGGAGACAGGTTTGGTGGGAATGGAGCTTAGCATTCAAAATGAGTTTGGGGGATAATACGTTGTTTCATGCATAATGTTTTGGAGCTGGAAGGGAGCCTAAAGATTATGCAGCTCAAGCTCCACTAGGCGAACAGATGAGGACCCTGAGGCGGGGGAGGTTGAGATGCCTGAATCCCCCTGCTAGTCAGCTTTTCTGACCTGGACTCCAGGGCCCTCGGCTCCCCCAGGGGACCAGCCACACCCCGCTGCCACCGCCACCGGACTAGGCTCCTTTTTCCTCAGGGCATCCCTCAGGGCAACCGAAAAAGTGTGGCCTTGCCCTCCCCCTTCCGCCTCTTGTCACTCTCACAACCACCGCAAACATGCCTCTCAAACACACCTCCGAGAGCAATGTCAACCTTGCCTGAGGATTTTCTTGAGCTCTTTGAAAATGACTGAAGCAAAGTGTTTGCAACTCAGGAGGCGCAGAGGGAAAATCTGAAGAGACTCGCTCCATAACATTTATCTTTCCGAGACCCATGTGTGACCTTGTGACTCTTCCACTCAAAGACCTTCAGTGGCTCCTCGTTGATGCTCCTGAGACTCTGACTTCAATCTCCTTGTCAGTGGCACCCCCTTCCTTGGGTCCCCCCACTCCCCAGCCACAGCCCCTCTAGTCACACTGAATGGAGCGTGTGCTCCAGGCCTCTGTGGTTCTTGCCACTTGAGTGACAAGTTCTCTTTTTACTCCTTAGTGAATTTCTGTATATCCTTAAAAGGCTCAGACTGAATGCCATCTCCTCCTTGGCAGCTCCCTTGACTTCACTCTGCCTGGCACTCTGCCTTTACCCCCTGTGATGCCCACAGACCTACATGTGTGTAAACTCAGCTCATCACTTTGAATCAGAGCTGTGTCTCCGCCCGTATCTTCCACCAGGCTGTGAGCACCTGCTGGGAAAATCCTCTTTAGTTCATGTTTGACTTCTGGAAATTCTGTCAGGAATCAGCATAAGTTAGGAACTCGGTAATTGTTAGTAAATACTCATATCACCCTGCAATGGATAGGAGGCTCATCGCTAAACACTGAGGAGCTACGGGTAACAGGGAGTGTTGGCATGGCGGCAGTCAAGGATGGCAGCTGCCCTCAAACCACAGATGAAAAGCTGCCCTTCAGGAGAACAGAGGGATTACCCAGCTGACCCAGGGCACTTATTGGGCCCCCCTGGATTCCCAAGGTCTGAAAATACAAAAATGCCACTTGCGCAAAGCTGTATAATCAAGCCTATTACTTTGAGCTTAGTCAAGGGAAACGCTATTCTAAATTAAAGACTGAATATACATTTTGAAATGAATTAATGTATATCCTTTTGAGTGGATGGTGCTTCAAGGTGTGAGTTAGTATATAAATGTCACACTTGTATTTCTTGGAATTCCTCCAAAAAAAAAAAAAAAAGATACCTGGAGATGTTCAGGGAAAGAATCCAAGCTACTAAACAGCCCAGCTCTCTCTGTTGCAAGTATATTATGGGCTATATCTCAAATCAAGCCTTTATTAACCACAATCAGGCAACATGATCCAATACCTTCAGTTTCCCAAGACACTTGTGTCATTACTTCTGAGTCAGCATCTTTCTCTTTATGTAGATTGAGAGAGCCAGATGCAGAATTGATTACTGTCCCAAGTGCGTAATCCTCTTAGAAGTCACCGAGAGGGAAATGAGAAAATGGCTTTCCTGGGCTTTTAGACCAAACAGGTGAGCATAGTTAAAGGAAAGCCGTTGACCTAGGTGTCTGGGCCGGAGTGGAATGCTAAGGCAGTTCAGACTCAAGGTCACATCTGCCCGTGGAGCAAAGGGAAGTGTCTCCACCTCATCCCTTACCCTGGGCCCTGTTAGAGTCCGCTCAACACTCTCGGAAAGCTAAAAGCAGCTTCCTGGGTACCCAAAGCATGGCACTTGTTAGGCAAGCAGAAGGTTTGGAAGAAAGTAGAGTAAAGGGTGTAAGGCAGAAATAAGCTGGCTGTAGCTGTGTGGGTGGCCGGAGTCAAGCGCTGGGTTTGACAGAGAGAGCTGGCAGATTTTGGGGGCTGTTTCAGAAGAGTAGAACCATGTGATTCTTGATGAACACATCTTGAGAAGAAGAAGATAAAGAATAGAAGAAAATACTAGTTGCATAAATGAAGTGGCACTTTCTGACACTGTTCTTGTTTCGATGAATGTGACTGCCACCTGCTCTTCTCTGGGACAGTCCCAATGAAGTAGTAAGAATGATGATGGGAACATGTACAGTGCTCAGTACAGGCCACACGCTGTTCTAAACACTTTCCTCATAGAACTTCATGGAACTCTCCTAACAGTCTCATGCAGAGGTACTATTATTCCTATTCTACACATGAGAAAACTGAGGCACAGAGAGGTTAAATGATTTGCCCAAGGTGACACAGCTAAGTAGTAGATCTAAGTAAGGTTCAGCTTTATGAATGCATGCTCTAGCCATATGCTAGGCTACCTCTGGGCTTTCAGGCTATGTGTCTAGTTCCAGGTTTGGCTGGGCTCTAACGTTACTTACCGCATGCTCATAAAGGAGCTGTATTTGGTGGTCAGAGACTCGCTGACCAGGAAAGGAGCGGTGAGAGTCGGGCTAAACTTTGGGCTGAAGAGGGGAAAGGGTGGGGCTGAAGGGTAGAGAGTGAGCACCACAGAATCTGAGGATTAGCTTAGTTAAAACCCCAAGCAAGTAAAAGGATTGTTGAAGTCACTGGGTGAGAGAGAGGCTTCTGGGCGCGGGGCCCAGGGAAGGAAAGCCTAGCCTTGCTGTGGGAGAGCTCTGCTGAGAACGGATCCCAAGGACCAAGCTCACAACAAAACAAAACAAAAAAAGCAGAGAGGGATTGATTGAGGCTTCAAGTCCCTCTGTTTCTAGAAGGCTGACCCAGGAAACAAGGAGAGGGCATGATCTTGGCTGGGTTGAGTTGAGTTCTACAAAGAAACAGTGCAACCTGCTGTTTGCCTCCCTGTGTAGAGTTTGCAGCACTTCCAAATGTTGGCAGAGACATGGGGGAACAGAGACTCTGCACTCCTGGTCGGGGGGGGGTTAGTGCCACCACCTAGTCCCTCTTGCTGATAAGCGCAGCCATTGGACTTTTAATTTCAGCTATCATATTTTTCATTTTCTAGAAAATCTGTTTTTATTTCTAAAAACTCCTTCATATATCATCTCTATATAGTGTTAGTTTATTTTCTTGCGTTATTTATTTCTTCTTTTGTGTCTTTATTTTAAACACATTGCAGTTTAATAACTTTTATCTGATGTTTTTGTAGACCTAATCTTGTTGCTTGCTTTATCTATCAACTCCCATTCATGATGCCAATCTTGGGGACACAAAGCCAGAACCTTGCATACAGAATGACTCACCCTATTTAGCAGAGCCCCAAATGTTCTGATCTTATCACCAGGCTAAAATGTTTAACCAGGGCGAACCCCGTCCTATCGCCACCAAATAGCACGTGCGAGAGCTCAGACAGGGATGTGCTGGGCTTGAGAAGAGCCCGCGCTTGGACCTCAGGCTTAAACCTTAACCTGGGATGGGAGGGGTCAGGCCTTTGGGGTCAGCCTTCAGGAGTCACATGAGGAGGTGCCAAACACTTGATTAAAAGTGCAAGCCAGCAAACCAGGGTTGGCAGTGGAGCCAAGTTGGTAACCAGGAGCAGGTAATCAAGAAGACCAAAGTGATTGCTAAAGAGAAAGGAATAGACAAAACCAAATTCAAAATCAG